CAAAAAAAATTTCATATAAACTTTTATCACTACCAGTAATGTATCCAATCACATCACCAAATTTTCGAACTCCACGACCTTTGGCTGAAAGACTTTGAGCTTAATCTCAGCGTTTAAAAATTTTTAGAGAAATAAAATTAATAATAGAAGACAGAATGTCATGAGTGAAAGTTGATTCATTTATTAGGCTCGATCTTTCTTGATAATAGCAATTCGCCCATAGTTTAATATCTTGTTGACTGAACGTTATTTCTTTAACAGATAAATCTATTGAATTTATTTGTTTCCATTCCTCAAGATTTTCAAGACTTTTTAACAAACTGGGTTTTAGACTTATAATATTTTCAGGGTCTATTATACCTGAATATAATGGATCGTCAACAGATAACTCAACCTTTGATGCAGCAGATATATAATTTTCAATGGTCAATAACAATTTATTTTTATTTGTAGACCGCTAATGAAATTTATTATTTTAAGTAAATTCATTATTATAAAAATAAATAAATAAAAGATATAACTTATATTTTTAATATTCTGAATTGCCGAAATCATTTTAGCATTTTCTGAGGGATCAAATTCTATCCAACCAAAGTTTCTAATAGCATCAATTAAAAATAAAGTCAATGTGTGACTTTTTGTAAAATCTCTGCGAATTTCTTTCAGTAAATCATAATAAACATTTGTTAAAACTTTATCGTCCTATTAAAAGAAACTGATTAATAACCAATACAGTACAATTTTATTCCTTTAAAATAACCTACTTCCGTTAACTTTGACTTAATATTACTATCTAAATATTTTTGTTTAAGTTCATTATAAGCAGCTACGAAATTATTTTTATCAGCATTTGTATAATTAAAAGTAAAATATTTGTGATACAAATGATAAACTACATATTCATGATAAGAATATTTCTCATCATTCTTATTAGTTATTAAATACAGATGATGTACCAATTATTTTAGTTCATTTCTTTCAAGATGAAATTTTTTTTATCTTATGGATAA